TGTTTTTTTTTTGCGGGGAATGGGCATTTTCTTGTTTTTTTTTTTTTTTAACGGCTGGCCCTCATTCTAGATTTTTCTTTTTTTTCTTCTTCTTTTTCCCCCGCTGCCTTCGGCTGCTGTGGGAGGTTTCCTGTCTTTCGTTTCTCTGCTTAGAAACAGCATCCAGGCTTTGGTCCCTGGCCACTGCTTTAGCCGTTAGGGCCACGCTCCTTCGCGCGCCAAGCCCTCGGCGGAGAAGCGACGAGCGGCCTCTGAGCTGTCTGCGCTTCTCTTTGCCCCCCCGGTTCCGATGAGCCCCCGCAGGATGCGGGAGGAAGAGGCTGCGGCGGAGACATCCCTCCCATCACAGTCACGGAGGTGCTGGCGTTAAAAAGCGATGCTTGCGCTGGTTCAATGTGTGGCTTTCCCGGCCGGCTCCAGTGACGCCACCTAAGATAACTGCACATCTCTTGTATGCCTAGAATAGACTGATCGTCTGTACTTCTGATGACCGCGTACTAATTTGCCAATACTAAATAACAGCCGAAACCTCTTTGAGTAAGGTCAAGCTGTCTGTGCAGGTTATCATTCAGGTGGGGGTAAGATTATATTGCTGTAGATTAAAAAAAAGATGGATTAAAACGAGAGCTCAATATACAGAAACATCATATAGTACTGACCCCATCTGTGCGGTCTGGAAAACAAGCAAGGCAAGCACACTTATCTTATTTAGCTATATGTGTGCTCAGCATTTTAAATGCCCGTTTAAGCCCATGGGGCAGCAGGCACGCGTTTCTTTCTTTTCTTTTTTCTTTTTTTTTTTGGCTAGCAGTCTGGAAAATTGCTGTCTGCCATGAAGCAGCCATGCTGTAAAAAGGGCACTGTACAACTTCAGCTACTGCTTAATCCTTCACTTTAAGTACTGTATGTTTCTGTGTCTGTCTGTAAGAACGAATTCTTGAAGTTAAACCTGTACAGATGAACACACCAGATGGAGCACCTCAAAAAAGATTTCCATCTGTAGCTGTCTCTCATGGACTGTGGCTTTAACATCAGTAACCATCCTTTACGATACCTTTGTTTTGGCCTTCCCACATACCCTTGCTCTGTGTTTGCATAAATATCAGTTGTGAAGGCACAGACTTGTTTGTTGTATGTCCAGCGGGGTTCCTATTCCTGGCCTGCAGAGACACTTAAAAAGCTAAACCATTATCAGTATTTATACTTGTCTGGAAGAAACAGGCTTTTGAGAGAGGAATATGATAGGAAACAAATATTAATTAGCTCTGGATTTTAGATGAATATTCATGATGTAGATTAAGGGAAATCTAAATATAGCTAACATTTTATGTTCTTTCAAGTTGACAGCAGTGAAACCAAATGTGGGTTTGTCAATTGGCAACTTTTGTCGTGCTGTATTTCACAGAGGGAAGTTAACATGCTGTTGTTATGAGTCCGGGGTAACAAAAGAGAGCAAGTCAAGAAAGTAAGTCAGTTTTTAATACCTGTAAGTATACTGAAATAAGGGCAAAGGAGGAACAGACACAACGATAACATGCTGCAGACATCCAGCAATAAAATGGAAAATTACTCATTTAAAATACAAATCAGTCAGTTAAGTAATCTGGTGGGTTAGAGCACATTAATCTGGTGCAACAACATTGACTCCCAACATGTTTGACTTTCATCAGGTTGACTGATACTCTACAAATGCTAAATAAACACATCTTTCTTCATCTAAGAATTGCATTAAAGGTAAACAGGAGCATCCAAAACAATGTGTTTTGAGCTGTGACTGACAAGTTTAATATGGGCCTCCAGAATGCTCATTTTACAGCTATTTTCTCATAAAAATAACTGCTCATTAAGTCACCTTTGCCTGAATGTTTTTGAAAGCACAGGGTTTTTGACTAGGAATTTTAAAAATTAATTTCAGCAATTATTTCAAAACTACAGATGAAAATGTAATTGGGATATAGAAATTACAACTACAAGGCACTTCAGCCAAGAATTACAGCATCTCTGGGGTACGTTTGTTGCTCTTGACTTCTGGATTAAGTCAGAGCACTCTGCTCTCTTATTTATTGGCATTCACCTTGAGCCTGCATATTTTCATCCCTTTATTATGGCTTATAATTTAAGTATACCTTTTTATAATTGATTGAGAATAAGGTAACTGTCAGCTTTCACTCATAATTTTGCTGTCAGCCACTATCTAGCACCAGCAAACCTCTGGCAATGAAATGACAAATCCCTCATTTAAAATCCAAATCAGTCACGTTACAGTGACCTGACGGTCTAGTTCAAACTAATCTGATACTACAGCATTGACTTACTACAAACTACGTCCCAGCATGTTTGACTTTCATCAGGGTGACTGTTATTCTACCAATGGTAAAATAAACAAATCTTTCAGCATCTTTCAGCATGCTACACAAATCAACATTAGCACATTTTTATCTATGCGGAGCCACCTGGCATTTTTCATCTATTTGGGCTAGCGAAGGGATCTGAGAAGCTGGTAGAGGATTTTGTTTGCCTGTGCTAGCAAAGAACGTACATTTTGTGGTTGTGTAGTAGACAACTGTAGGCCAGACAAAGCAGATGAGAGTTGTATTTTGGGACGTTTGTGTGTACGTGCTTGTGTGCATCTGTGGATACACTCTTAATGGACGTTCTTACATAGCCTCAACAATTACAATTCGCTTCACAGGTCTGTTTTGAAAAGTATTGCTGAAGTCCTGAAGAAAGGCGACAGAACTGAATACTATGTTTCTTGTGCAGATGGAAAAGTCAACTCTTTAAAATCTAGGCAAATAAATACATTTTTCCCTCCAGGGAGCCAGAGGGCAGATGTTTCAGCAGTTGTGTGTTGAAGAACATGCATAATATAGTAATTCTCACCACCTTACCTTGTATCTTTTTCATGTTTCAGCTGACATGGAGCAAAGTCATTACTGCTACTATTTGCTCCATTATGACCTCTGAAAACTCAGGGTATCATTAGGCAGGTGTCAGCAGAAATGCCTCACCTTGATTTATCTGCAGTGCTCCCCACCAGAACTGTAACTGTGGTCTGGTCTATGCAGGATTGTTTCTTGGTGAGTCATGCAGATTGTTCTGTAGCTTCTTCTAGGCAGTGCTGTGCTACGCATGACTAGTGGGCTCTGACCGTGAAAATGTTTCCTGAATGATGTAACTGAAAATTCCCCTTCCTGTGCTTCTTGTTTCCTGATCAGTTTTCTCATTGTTCTTGAAGACATTCCAGCAGCTGCATATCTTTTATTCCTGATCTTTTATTCCTACAAATCTCTGTGAAGACAAGTTATGTCAACAGCTGCTTTAATTAATTTGGTTAGAAATGGAGGGTATCAAGTAAGAAGGAGAGCCCTGCTGACATCCCGCCTCTTGCAAGACGAGAAGTGTCCGACAGCGGCAGGGTACAGCTCCACCTCTGAACACCGGGCTTCCCGCTTTGATGCAGATGGGAGTGGGCGACCCGCCACATGGGACACCTTTGGCATCTGGGACAATCGCATTGACGAACCCATTCTCCTCCCACCAAGCATAAAGTATGGGAAGCCGATCCCAAAAGTCAGCCTGGCCAAGGTAGGCTGTGCTAGCCATATTGGAAAACGGAAGGAAAATGAAGACCGATTTGATTATGCTCAGCTGACGGAGGATGTCCTATACTTTGCAGTATATGATGGACACGGAGGGGCAGCAGCAGCTGACTTCTGTGATAAGTACATGGAAAAATACATTAAGTAAGTGTGCATCACACAAACGCTTGGCATTTGAATTACAGTAGAGCTTCCTTCCTTAGAATTGAAAAGGAACCTGTGGGTCACCGATTGTCACTAATTGTCCTAGGTTATATTGTCATCTAGTCCAATGGGACAGCAGGCACACGGGACTGGAATAATCCCTGTTGTTATGCTGGACATGGTATGAGCGTATTACCCTTTATGGTTCTTGAACCATGGAGCAAGCCCATAAGGGCAAGAAAGGAAAATGTAATTGTCTCCCCCCTTCCAGGAAAGGGTAGGGAACACAGAGAGTGTGACTTGCCTGTTGTCAGATGAGGTCACTTTGATTGTGACCTGCATAGCTTGCTAACACTTCCCTGTGGGGCTGCATTGCATAGCTGGGTGTTTGAAGAGGAATTCCTACTGCTAGGACAGAACAAGGCTTGAACCCTACGTGATAAGTAGTTCATTTCTTATGGGTTTGGGCTCAAGGCTTTTGTTGGGGGAGGGGGTTGTTTTGTTATGGGTTTTTTAGGGTATTTTTCCCTCCTTCCAGAATATAGAAAAGTGCACCTAGTTAAGTCAGGACTAGGTAGTACTGCTATCCTTAAGCAACATAAGAGTCCTGGCACAGGTTCTTTGCTAAAGGAGCTAGCCCCTTTTTGTAGCCTAGCACATGCAGATCTGTTGCCTTGTTTGGGGAACTGCTCAGCTATGGACCTAGACAGGACAAGCAGAAATTGCACTATGAGAATGTTCTCTTTGCAGATCAGATGCAAAAAGATAAGCTATTATATCTATTTGCAAAATTGTAAAATTTGCTTCCAGTGCAAATCATTAATGATATCCTATTACTCTGAGGTTATCAAGTGTGTTTCAATGCATGCAAGGAGGAAATAATTCTATTGAAGAGATTTATTAAGATGAATATTTCCAGGAAAGAAATTAAAATTTTTTTCATTTTGTTTCCAGAGAATTTCTTACTCAGGATGAAAACTTGGAAAATGTTTTGAACAAAGCTTTTCTAGAAATAAACAAGGCATATGAAAGCCATGCTCATCTATCTGCTGATGGTAAGTAAAAAACACTCTACTCTTGGGGTGGGGAAATGTTTTTCCTTATTTGTCCAGTTGTTTTGTATTTAGACTTCCTGAAAAATGCTTAAAAGCAGTCTTATTTAACATAGATTTTTGCTCTGATCACTTGTTGTCAATAAAACAATCATGTTTAACCTTTTTTTAAATGACAAAGCTATGAAAAGTCTAAATGAAATTTATCAGGGGTGTTATTAATCTAAAATTTTGCAATTTATCTGAAATTCTATCAAGCAGAGTTTTTTCAAGTTAGCAAGGAATGGTTTCAGTTGGCACGGAACATAACTTTACATATTGTGTGAGAAATTAACCCAGGCATCCTTTTTTTCTGAAAAGCTGTTATTTTTGTGGGTTGTAAGGAACAGTGTCTAAAGTTCCCCTTTCTGACTCAGCTGTTGCAACTGAGAAGGAGCATAGGCCAAAATTAATACAACAGATGTTGCTTCTGCGCAAACAGAATTACAAGAGTAGCTCTGATTGTGAAGGAGAAAAAGGCAGGTACCTGGAGAACACGGTTGGCTGCGGTAAGGCTGGCACCCGCCCTTTCAGCCTTCTTAGGCTTGGCAGTGAATCAGGTTCTTGTATATATGTCTAGAGACTAAGCACAGCTGAAGTGCCAGTTACAGCAGCCAGAGCTTAGAGGGAGTGATTTGGGAAAGGGGGAAGTGATAGAGGTTACCATCCTGGTTGTCTGTCACAGGAGTTTCCTCAGCAATAAGATACTATTTCAAGAATCAGCTGAGCCAGTCTTAAAAAACTGTCCCCGTGCTGGTGCAGGCACTTGCAGCACAACGGAGGTTGTTTTAAAAGAGCAGAATTTTTAAAAGTTTTCCCTCCAAGAAAGAAGTTAAACCCAACAAGCCCTCGCGGGACTGAAGCTATACTGTATTCTCAGGTTACTTAAGCAGTGAATGAAAACAATAAATTACCAGAACTGTTTCCTACACTCAATAAACTGCCAAATGAACCTGGTTTGACTCCTAGGAAACGTTTCTTGGCAGGACACGTAGTCTGGCTGCTGCAGCACGGTGAGCAAGGTATACCTTTTCTCTTACCTGGTGCAAGATGAGGTACCGGAACACAAAAAAAAGTCATAAATTCTGAAAGGCAGTCCTTAAAAGAGCCTAATTAAATCTTTAAAAGTCTTCCCCCCCCGTTTTATCTTTCGCTATTGAAATCCATCTTCATTCTTTAAAAAACAATGACATGGTAAAAAACAGTCACTTTTGAACTACGGAGTCAGTTTTAACTGAGCTAGTCTGGGACACATCAGTAGAGCAGATATGCTTTGTATCTAAGAGTTCCCTTGTAAATGTCATCTTGAGAGCTCAGATTCAAGAAAACATCTGAATTCAGGCTTATGTGCTTCTTTGGATCAAGACCTTTCATTTTCAGTAACATGAATATTTTTTTATATTTGGCCTCCCCTTTGTTAACAAGACAGTTCTTGCTTTTGCTCATCGAAGTAACCTTTGTTAAGTTTCAGAGCAGCTCCTTAAGCAGAATTGGAAATCGTACTTGGTATGTTATTTGATTATTCTAAAAACAGTTTCTGATATAGCATTTTGTACATGAGTTTTACCAAACTGGATAACAAGAGTATTTGACAGACAACTTCTGCAACAAGCTGAGTATTTGGACCTGTTTATAGGGTATTATCATACCATTTAACTGGCTAACTAGGCTGCTTACTTAATGAAAATGCTAGCAAATTTACATAACAGCTAAACAGCACATTTACAAGATCCTGGACAAACTCTCTTCATTAAAAAAAGTTTGAGGTCAAACAAAATACTGGGCAAAGACACTGTTTACAACCACAAAGGCCACATTTTGTAAAGTACCCAGTGCTTCTTTAGGTAGGTTTTCAGCAAGCTCTCACAGGAACCTGTGGGATGAGAAAATGCCCAGCGCTCTTGACTAGTTGCCGAGCTGAAAATCAAGCTATAGGGGAAAGAGGGGAGTAATAAGATGTAAAGACAAATGCAGATTTATGAAAAAAGTGAACCTGTCACATATCTGCTGTTGAAAAATTTCAGTACTTTGTTGACTGTTTGGTGTGGGTATTTTTGTTGTTGTTGCTGTTTTGAAAGTTACATGAAAGTCAGTTGCTTTGCATGTATCCTTAGAAGCCTAATTCCAACAGATTCAGTTTGGCAGAAAAATTTCTGATGAATTGTGGCTATTCTAGATGTGAGTGTCGAGAGTGTTGCTCAAGTTTCCTGAAAACGGTGGTGATGGAACTCTGGGTGTCCAGGACACACTGGATGGGTCCCAGGACAGACTCCCCTTTCAAACCCTTCTGCAGCTGACAAAGTGGAAAATAATGGCTTAGTCTTGTTCTGGCAGATCATTCTGCCAGTGTCCACTCCTTTCACTGTGTCTGCAAAGGACACAGTGAGTGTCCAGGATGATGCCAGATCTTCACTTTTCTAACATGTGCCCAGCTTTGGAAGTGTGTGCCTGCGTGTTTGAAAGAGCACGACTCCTGGGACAAATCCCAACAGCCAAAATTACAGGTATTTTGGGCAACATGATGTTTATCATACTATGTAAGGAAAAAAAAACCCAACATATTATGGCACAAATGTAACAGGCTAAGAGGTGTGCATTTTCAGAGCGTCTGGCCCTGTCTTCGAGGACAATGCCTTTTGAAGGTCGCTTCTCCATGACAGAATATTTGAAATTAGAGTTGAAAAATACATAAAGTAATACTTCCTTTGAACTTTCAGTAAAAATTACAGATATATGTTCCGATATTGCTCCTTGTGTCTTGTGTGCAGGATGACTAGTGCTGCTGGACTGCTGTACTGGCCTGCGGTCCATTCCAGTATCCCCTCTGACAGTGGTCTGTACCAGATGTTTCACACAAAAGCATAAGAAACTTGCTGTAAGCAGATCTGGGATAATCTGTCCTCCACATAAATCCTTTATAATAGTTAACAGGTCAGAGATCTGCCTGAGCCTTGAAGCATGATGTTTGCTATCTCTTCAAAAATGCATTTTCATTCACTTCCACATATTTAAATACATTCAGTCACTTTTAAATCACTGCTAAACTTGAGTATGGGATACGCTAAAGTATGCTCACGTCAGACAAACACATCGTTATGCATGAAGCAACCTTTAACACAGATGGACAGAATCTTCTGGTATTTCTGCCTAGCATTAAAAAACATACATGTAAAGGCTGAATAAGGACAGAAATAAGCAAGTGACTGATGTGCTTGCGGAAATTAGAGCATCGCTCAGGCGATACAGAAGACATATTCCCACAGTAACAGCAGCTGCTGTCCACTTGGAAGGTGACAGGTCCATGGCTTGACCCAGGTCCACCGTGCAGTATTTTTCAGACAGTGACACTGCATTTATCTGGAGCGCTTTACTGTATGGGAGCCAAAAGGCCTCGTGGCCTTCAAGACGAGAGAGCACTGGCAGAATGGACGGCAGTGCGTGTGTGCTGCTGTGGTTCGGTGAAAGGGAATAAAAGTAGAGAAAAGTCGCCTGCGTTTGCAGGCTGTACGTGTGGAAGCCATTTCTGTGGCCACGACACACTTGTAAGAGTATATGGCTTGCGAGACCATCTGTTTATGTACTTCTAGCCACAGCAGCACATTTGCCTTGGAGAAAAAGTCCAGGGTCTTACTGCATTCCCACGTAAAAGGAAAAGCCTTAATCGTTGTCCTTTAACACTACTTCTACCCATTATATGAGGCTAGTTTTGTAAGTACAACATTTGTAGATGGAAGTGCCTCTCTCCTGTCCTAATGTGTCTTACAAGGTACTGCTACTGCTTCTCTTCATTGTAGGCACAATCCAGTACTCAGAGAAAACAACAGGGCGTCTTTCCATCAACCGCCATGTTCAGTGCATCCAACTCTAACTGCACTGGCCTCTCACTTCTGGAATAGCCACCTTATTAAAACACAGCCAAGTGTTAACTGATGAATAGAAAAAGTCTTTTTAAAATAATTAAATGAAAAAGTTTTAAAGTTACCATTCAAAACCATGATAATTCTTTCTTTGCATATGTTAACCTGCAACACTGAGGAAAAGAGAGAGCTGCAGAAATTATACTTAAATATTACGTAATGCCCTCAGCGTTAAAAAGACAGCCTTTTATCCACGCGTGGCCCTGGTTATCTAATCAAGTTAGAAGATATTGATTAGAATGTTCCGGGAGTGTTCGTTTTGCATATTTTCCCATGGGTCAGATGAAGTCCTATATTTCTATTCAGCGCCTTTAAAATGGCCTCATTTTGGTTGGCCCCTTTCTGAACCTCCCGATTTTTGTTTTGTCTATAAATTACCTTGAGAAACAGACTGGGCCATATTTGGTACTGAAAATGCCTTCAGAGTGCCCATTTTTGCCAGATACGAGATGGCGGGCCTTCTAGCATTGCTATATTTCTTTGGTTGGTTGGTTACCTCCCCCAAAATATTTTGTAGCCTTAATTTTGGCTGAAGTCAAACTGGTTTTGTCACACAGTTGTAAAGAAAAGGCAAGAAGGGTGGCAATTCCTGAAAAATACCAGGGCTGATCTGTCTGTGGCCAAAGACGTGTGTAAGCCTCAAGTGTGGCCAAACTGGATGCTACACAACTCATCAGGACTTCCTATATCACCTACAAAAGACCGTGCAGGCAAGCCCAAAGTGAATACTTTCCCTATTTTGCAGCCCTTGTTCTTTCATCTCCAGTGTTGCAGGTTTATTTTGTTTGAACAAAGTCCCTGGGTGAATTTCCTATTTGCCTCTGTGTACATGTTATTTGTGGCAGACACTGTACCTGGTCAGCAGCTCTAGAACTGGAGGCCCTGGACACTATATGCTGGGCTTCAGTGGAAAGAGAGATCTGCTTAATTTTGTCCCAGGTGAAGGAGTCCGGCGGTTCCTAGCCTGGACTACTGGAAGGTTCCCACATCCTCTTTGTCACATTAGTTGAGATGACTTGCAGTAAAAAATGTCCAGTGAGTGTTAAGAACCTATTGAAAGATCTTAGTTTTATAGTGCTATTGTTAGGAAGAGAAAATAAACTCTTTAATTGTTAAAACAATGTATGTGCTGATGCAACTTATGTTACATTATTAAATAACCTAGAAGCAGTAGCAGCAAAGCATTAGACGTTTTATCCCATCATCATTCTTATGTTTTGGAACTGTGCTAAAATCAATCAGATAATTCTTTAGTCCAGCTAGATCCGTATTGCTCTTCTACCCAGATCATGAACTAGATCCAGGGAAGCGAGCATGAATAGCAATCATTTTTCTAAGCAATACCATTTAACCAATGAACACGTGTAAAGCACAAGTTACTATATCCATTACCATTGTCTGCACAATATGTGTGACTGGTTCTTTGGTAACATTCCTTGACATGGCGATAGCAGCTCTTTTGGCTTTGAGAATTTGCACTTTAAAGATGTAGATTCACCTGAATGACTAAATGTGTAAGATCATTCATGAATGAAACACTACAGATCTTACCTTCTAAGAGGCTAGCATTTGTTTGTCAGTGTCGTTCCAAAACCAAGGAATGAAATGGGACCCTAGCGGCAGTTCCTTATTAATTTTCATTTCTAAATAAAATATAGTTTCTGTGAAATAAAAAGGTAGTTTTATATAGGCTTTTAATTTCACTTATTTTAATTGTTGGGCTAAAAACAGGTATTTTACTGGCTTTACTAAAATTTCTAATCAGATTGCTACTGTCTTATTTTTATAACATGCCTCAAAGTGAGCCTGCACCAGACTAGTGCTTGCTTCAGATTAGAAATAGGACGTCAGTGCTTACCTGAATACTCAGAAGCTACTGGCATCTAAACGGTTTTGTATATCGTTGTCTGCACTGCAGCCATAACGTAGTCAGAGATTTGACCTGGAGATGGTTGATGTTCACGATTGACATTTTGGTTAAGTGTATAGCTAAACCAAGTCTTCATTGCAGTAACATACCTGTTTTAAACAATAACACAAGCTTAGTTTAGACTGTTTTGTGAGTTTTTTTTTTTTTTTTTGATTCATTGACTCACTGCTTTCACTTTACAACAAGGCTCAATGCATCTTTCAGGGCTTTGTGCACCTTGAATTTCCTCCCAGCCCAGTTTTCCAGGGGTGCTGAGTGCTCACAGGGTTGGGGGAAACAGTCACCAAGATTGCACAGTGCTCGCATTTTTGCTTGTGTAAACGTGTAGGGGGAATGCTGCATGTATGCGGTGTGCTGGCAGCGTGGAGCTGCCTGGCATTCCTCTGGCTCAGGCGCACCGTCCTGCTGAGATCTGTCCCCCTCCCCGGGTCAGGGCTGCAGAGCCAGAGGTAGAAATGCATGTAGCTGTAGCTGAGCTGTAGAGAAGTGGTAGAGTGAAGATCTTTAACGTTCACTCATGTGCAAACAGGAACATAACTGGGGATCCTCAGTGCTAGCTGAACCAAAAATCTCTCTCTGAAATTGTCTTGCTTTTAAAACCAATTACCAGAAAAGCCCAGAATGCAGCGAGATCCACAGAGGGCCTTTTGGAGGAATTTGCATTGGCTGTGAATTCCAGTCAATAGCTCTTCCTGGCCAAGTTTTTTACTGTAATAGCTCAGATCAGCAGGCGTTATTACTTTCCAGGCAGCTCTCACTGGGTTAGAGTTGCATATCTTGCAGGCAGAGAAGGTACTAGAAACTGTTCCTTTAGAAAAAAGGCTTCTGGCAGTTCTTTTGGCATTTCCTTCATTGCAAATAAAACTGCAGATCTCTTGTGAAATAGGCTGACTCATATTTCCCATTTTCAAGCCTTTTTTTTTCCCCAGTGTGATGGTGAAATTGAAACCAGAAGGCCTTAAATTTATTAGCACTAGTTAATCCAGCCAGGACCCTAAACACAGTTAGCCAGCTCAGATCACTCCTCTGCCTTGCAAGAGAAGACGACAGCAGCTGGGAGTCTGTCTTGCCCTTTAGGCATTGAATTTATATCCCTTTCAAGTGATCCTACCAGTGCCCAGGGCAGATTGCCCGGAGGACCATTGCCAGCTGACTGGCTCAATTAGCAAGTGCAAGGCCACACAGGACCCAGCTCCAACAAGTTGACAGGGTCTGAAGAGAGAAGAGTCCCCTTCCGAAAAAAGCCATTGTCTGCTGGCTGAACCCTTTGTCTCTTGGCAAGGCTGGGGGAAACGAAGGGAGACTGTAGTAGCTTGGAGAACAACTGGAGCACCCCAGAGCCTGGGGAAGGGGAGTTTCTGTTCTAGTGAAACTACGTGCAGCTACCATTAGCGTTACTAAATTGCCCACTTCACCTCCAGACAGAAGGGAAGATCCATCAGCTTTGTGTTGGGCTACACCTGCAGTCACTGTGCCCAGGGATAAGAATGATATCCCAATATCTTCAGATACGCTGTTGGAACAGAAAATGTGCTCGCTACAACGTGAAAAGAAACTATCTTACCTGATAGTACTTTTGTTCCACTTGCCCTGTTTGCATGGAGCCCTGTTGTTGCACAGAAATACTTACCCTTTCCACTTCCTCTCTCCCCCCTCGTCCTACATGCATGTTTGTCTGCTGTACTTTTTAAATATAGCTTTCGTTTAAAATTTAAAACATGTATTCACTGGTAACATAGAGCACAGGTTGTCTTTGTTTTATCAGTTGAAACTGTTACTTTGTTATAAATGGTGCTGTGCTTCTGGGCAGTGTTAAAACCTCTCTCTTTGGTATGATGTTTGTAGCGACTGTGATGAACGCTGGGACCACTGCAACAGTGGCCCTGCTCCGGGATGCTATTGAGCTGGTTGTGGCAAGTGTGGGAGACAGTCGTGCACTGCTGTGTCGAAAGGGAAAAGCCATGAAACTCACCATTGACCATACTGCAGAAAGGAAGGAGGAGAAGGAAAGGTACCTGTCAGCTGATGTCGTGGCTTCCCTGGGGCTGGCCTTGGTCAGGATGTGGTTTTGTTCTCCTGCAGCGGGGTTGGGCCTGGAAAAAAGCAGAGTTGAACATAATGTCTGGAATTAGCATCTGAGCTAGCAAAAGGTAGCACAGCTCCAATCAGTTCATAGAGGTCTGAAGATCTGAAAAATAATGCATGAACATAAACGGTCATGGCCGTAAGATCTGTGCAGGTAGGACTGGGTGCAGAGACTTGTCCAAAACCGCCAAGTTTGAGCCAAGATTTGAAGTCACGTACTATCGTTGCCAGTCAGACAGCAAAAGCCAACTCTCAGTCTCTCAGTTTAGGTCCTCCATACCCCACTCTACCTCCATAGATAGTGGTAGAAATTGCAGCTAGAGATAGGATGATGGTCTGAATCAGTAATTCATATTTGCTTTCTCTCTTGCCTCCAGAGATTAGGAATATGGGTGGCTTCGTTACCTGGAACAGTTTGGGACAACCACATGTGAATGGTAGACTTGCAATGACAAGGAGCATAGGAGATTTGGATCTTAAAAACAGTGGTGTGATAGCCCAACCAGAAACAAAACGGGTTCAGGTAAAAGAAGGCCTGGTTAGCAGGGACAGCAACATTCGGATTAAGGGGCGACACGGGTATTTGATGCAGGTGGTATCCACACAGCATGAGCCCAGTTGAATGGCCAAGCTGTGATTTTTATTCGCGGTAAAGTAACCAGAGATTAATTCTAAGGAAGTCATTTCAGACTGACACTAACAGGACAGAAGAGAATCTGGCCCGGATAACAAATTCAGCCAAATTAAATTTAAATCCAATTTATCACAGTATCAATATATGATGCAGGAAGGAAGATAATACATGATCACCATTAATGAAATATAAAGAGGTCAGTCTGTTTAGGGCTTGTGGTCAAATAAAGACATTTTAAATTTATGTTGATATAAAACCATTGCTCAGAACTAGGTGTGATATAGATGGACTAAGTTATTGAAAAAAGTAGTATATGTAGAGGTTTGCACACTTGGGAGGAAGGGAGGAGGAAAGGGCAGCTGCATGCATCTTACCATGGCTCTGCAGTTGTTCAGGAAACAGAGTAACCATCCAGAATGCATTCAGCACAGTTGCCTTCAGGTTTGCTCCTACCCTTACGAGAAAGAAAGCTTCCTTCTCATCTCATATTCTACTTGGTATTTTTCCCCCATCCCCAGTGCATCCCAGTGCTGAGGGAACTTAAATTTGGTTGGTACTAACCAAACACAAAACACTGTCCATTAGGCCAGAGGAATTTAGTGAGCTGATCTCAGTGGTAACATCTCTGCCTTGAAATCCTCAGTTGAAGGAGGCGTTTCATTTACTTGGTAACGTATGGGTCTTGGCTTTTGGCCTCAAACTATTCAGAGGATTGTTTTCCAGAACTGGAAGTCCTTGTGCAGAAAGCAGGGAACGTGCAGCACCCCCATAAAAAGTGCTTTGCAACAGAGGGAAAAAATTAAGACATTCTGCCTTGCAGCGCTCTCTTCATTGTTACCCACACTGCTTGCCTTTACTGCAGTTGCATCATGCAGACGACAGCTTCCTGGTCCTTACTACAGACGGTATTAACTTCATGGTGAACAGCCAGGAGATCTGCGACTTCATTAGCCAGTGCCATGATCCGGCTGAAGCAGCCCACGTCGTTACTGAGCAGGTAAGGCCAGGGCTTCTCACCGCACCAAAGCACTGCCGCTCCTGCAAGGGTAATGCAGCTGAATGGTAGCTTAGCCTGCACATCTGTTGAATGTGCTCTCATGGGTCCAATTCAGCACGTGGTAAGCCATTAAGTTAAGCCATTAAGGAACAGTTGGTTTTTTGTCAGTATGTTTGTTGTTGGGTTTTGGCTTTTTTAAACAAAAACACGTATATAACCACAGATTCAGCAGTGGATTTAACTGTACTGGCTGAGATGGTCACCAGTCCAACTGTTTGTCCTTTTCTTTCCCTGGACCTTGCCACATCCTTGCAAAGGGACATCATTTCAGTTTATATGCTTAGGTCATGATCCACTGAACTGTGTGGGGACTGTAACTGCAGTTTATTCCAGTGCTGACTATGTCATCAGCATAGATGGAAGCGGCCAGTTTCTCACAGTGGGATATAGAAAGCTCTAGGGCATACAAGAAACTGCAGAGCTGACAGGAGGCAAGGAAGTGTAGGACCTTGTGGCGTGCTGTCCCATGTGGAGCCCAGTACTTGTTTCCCTTTCAGGGAAATTTCAGGGTTATGATGCTGATGATTTGTTTCTCCTCTTAGGCAATACAATATGGCACTGAGGACAACAGCACCATTGTCATAGTGCCATTTGGAGCATGGGGTAAATACAAAAATGGCGAGATCAACTTCTCCTTCAGCCGCAGCTTCGCCTCCAGCGGGAGGTGGGCATGATGACCTGCCACAACTATCTTTTCCTGCAATAATCTGGACACAGAGCGCTACAGGAGAACACATCCATCTGTTCATAGGTTGACTCACTATCTTGTCCATCTCTTCTCTTCTCTGTTATAGAAAATGCCACTGCTCCCTTGATGGATAATGCCCCATTGTTGCTTATGGCTGATCGTGTTTTACCACTTATTTATTCGAATCAGCGTTGAGGCAGCTATGTCCTCATGTTTCTGGTCCCAGCAGCTCCTAACACCACTTTGTTCATGTAGACAGGGTTCTGAGCTTTCACCCTAGGCTGGAGGTGTTGCACGTTAGTTCCGTACCAACTCATTTATCTAGGACCCTTAGTTATTTAGCAACTGTGAAAGTCTGAGACTGAGCCATCTGCCAACTTCTTCGAACAGTACATAGGGGAAGAAACACACAGCTTTCATAGGGAGACAAAAGGCGGGTCTGTTGTCTTCCTCTGCTATACAGCCACACAAAACTCCTCTGTGCTTCAGGAGAAGCAGATGAAAAGTAAGGGGGAAGTTGCAGGAAGTAACTAGCCTGCACTTCTGTCCTGATGCCAACGGCATTGGGTGTAGTTGACATTTTTCTTAAGACAGTGCTGCTTTGCAGGACTTTATGCTCTCACCGCTGTGATTTGTGATCCTCTGGCTCCGAGAGCATGGAGCAGGCTGGAGCCGCAGCTGTGGGAAGGGAGTCTCTCCATTTCATCTGAAGCCTGTGCAGTCTCTTTGGACGATGTAGCAGCCTCTTTGCACCGTGTTCTCTTTGGTGTGCCAGCGCCTGACAGGAGCACGTTCGAGGGAAAAAGCTGCACATTTTTGAAATCCAGAGACTCTGTCAACTTGAATTTCTTTCTTTTTTTTTTTTTAAACGAATTTCAAAGAATTTTCTAATCAAGATTCTTTGGATGTATAAGACAGGAAAGTTTATTTCTTCATAAATATATGAAGATTTCCTGCCCTCCCTTGAAGGTTTTTAGTTTGTCGTGATCTCCTGTGTGTCCTCATGGTATACAGGAAGCTGTAAAATGCACAAAGCAAGCAAGCTAGGGAAAGGAGAGAGCGGTTTATTAACATAACATAATTTGTGTAAGCTTTAGGTGGTGCTCAAAATAGATGCTAGATACTCAGCCAGCGAAAGTATAGTTTTGTACTTAACAGAAGAATGTCCACGTCCTCTTCCCTTTTTGGTGGGAGTCTGTGTCCAGTGAGGCCCAAGGGTCCAGAGCCCTGAGCCAGCTCAGACTGTTGCTGTGAGAGGGACCGCAGGTGACGTGTTGGCGTGTTAGCAGCAGCTGAAGATGTGTGCCAGCGTGCCTCTTTCCGACCTCGATCTTCCTCTACTCCAAATCAGGTGTGCAGCTCCCTTGGCCTCTTGAGTTACCCTGTTGTAAGGAGACATGGGTAGAGAAAAACAGGGCTCTTCTCTGGTTTGCAACAACGTTTTTCATTCTGTGGATGTTTCAACCAGGACAATTGTAAAAACAAACCAAAAAATAAATGACATTGCCCGATAAGAAGTCAGCTAACAATAAGGAAAAATATTCCTGAGATGCCTGGTCCAATTCGCATTTTCCAGCATGAAGCATGCATCTTTGTTCCTTTAGCCCTTTCCAGGCCCAGAGTTATACCTTATGCAGTCATTCCACATGTTTTCTTTGCCACTGTTTGAAGGCCTGGGAGCATCCCACAGAGCACAGTGTTGTACTGACAGCAGCAAGTACTTTGTGTATAGAGAGTATGCTGGTTTTGTCCCATCACTTGGTGTATTATATGGTGTATATAATGTGTATATTGGGTTTATAAGTATGAAGAGTTTGTGAAACAGTATTTGTAAATCTCTATCGAGTCTGATGCTGTTATCCAGGGCTCTGTAATGAGTGTATCACTGGTTTACAGTTGTAATCCCTTCTCTCTCCCCAGTTTTTCTGGGTTTGGGTTCAGTCTTCACCTGAAGCCAAAATGATTGTCACATTCTCTGCCGAGGCCAAAAGGCTGAGAACCTGCTCTGGCTGATAGCAGAAGCGGCAAAACACAGCTTCTCCTGAGCACTTGAGGAGAGGTAGCACTTAACAGAGATTCAGAGAGCTGCTCCAGGAATGTGGTTATGACCAGTTTGTGCAGCAGCGTGAACAGCTTATAGCCTTTTTTCCTGCAGAAAAAGCAACTTGCTAAGCCATCAAACCCAGTAGTTCCTAGGAAGGGGTTAACCACAGCAGGCAGCAGTCTTGCTCTGGGCACAATGAGGAGTTGCAGTCAAGCTCTGGAGAGGGAGTTGTTGCTGTGGGGGTGGATTTGCTATCAAATGTCAGCCAGGCATGAGCAGTGTCGGGATTTGGACAAGCTCCATTGATGCTGTTTCCTTCCAAACACTGCTCACTGCTTGTTTCTGTTCAGCCAGCAAACCACCTATCGAAACAGAAGATACTGTGGGCGTGGGAGTGTTTCTGACAAACACATGCTGCTTTTTAAGCATGGGCATTTGAGCAGCACTGGATACTTGCCAAGCTGAACACATGCTATTAAATGCGGGTGGGTAATGAATAACACTACAAATGAGGAGCAGGTGCTCTGAGGAATGTCCTGGAATTAGGGTAGCTTCAAGGCATTGATCTATATGTGAAATGAAATGAGAGTTTCTAGTCTAATTGTGTTTCAGGGGGCTATCCCTATTGGATAGCCTGATTTTATAGAGCATGGAAGCAGTTGGTGTTTTTTTATTTCTGCTGAGATCCTACCGACTGGCTATCCTCTCAGAGAAAGGATTCATCAGGAACTCCTTTCATATTTTGAAAGGAAGGCATAAGACAAAGCTTTGCAAAATAGATGATGGTTAGGTAAGGTATCTTGGCAGTTCCTATTAATGCCTTTATAGAACCACAGAAAAACTCAGGTCAGAAAGGACTTCTGGATATCATCTAGTCTAACCTCGTGCTCAAAGCAGGGCCAGCTTCAGAATTATATACTGCCATAAAGAGACATCTAGTGACATTGAAACATGACTGAAAATGGGTGGGAAGAAATAATTCTTCATACAGTGCAGTTTGCCTGAGGAACTCCTTGCCACTAGACTGCATTGAAGCCAAAAGCTTACCAGTATTTGGAAAAGACCAGGCAGTTTGTACAGCAGCTGATAAACTTCATAAATAAATCCAGCAGTACGTATATGTATGTAACAGATGCAAGCTTTTTTTGCAGTAGAGCAACAGCCAACCAATAACTGAGAGAGGATTATGAAGCTTAAGTGCAGCTCATTCCCTGTCTGTGCACCGTAGCTTTTTGCATTTCATTCTGAAGTAAATAACTACTAATGAAGATGAAACGCTTTGCTCCGTTGCACAATAAGCTGCCTAATTCTCTTACCTGTAAGAACAGAGGCCCCTGCACAATGTGTTGTGTAGATACTTCACTTAATGCTGCACATTGCAAGATCCTGAGTGCCTGCTTGGAAAACATAATTCTGTCTAGACACTCCATTACTAGGCCTGTTCTCCTCCTGACCCACAGTCCTGCTTTTTTCAGCAAAGACCCGAGTGAACTCCCCTAGGATTTCGTGGCAACTGCACCAAACCCCATTTTTCTCCAATGAGTCAGGGAAAACCTGCATTTTCTTTGGTGATGCAGCCACTAGAACAAACCACTTTCTTTGCATTTCAGTTCTAGGGCTGTGTTGACACTGAGTCATTGTTGACAGAGTGGGCTTTGCTGACAAGTTTATGTACCGAGTGGGATGTGGATTTACAGCACTGAATTTTGAATGCACTGAATATGAAGACAGTGGATTAAAGCCATGTCAGGGGGCATGGAAGTGGTTTGTTGCAATGGTACCAGGGAATCAAGTTAGCAGAGCCTTGCTAGTGTCCAGCCAGCAAACCACTTTGGCGTGGGGTTCCCCACCAGAGCTTGGTACTGCTGTGATGAGGCTGTGCTTGCAGTTTTTTTCCATCTAGTCTGTAAGCCTCCTGCTGCCTATAGTAGCTCTTGAAGCAACCAGCTTTAAGCCCCAGGGACCAGCAAAATTCTCTTGCCTCGTAGAGAGATCCTTTTAAACTGGGGAGCAAAAGCAAATTGTCTTTATAATGGCAGTTGCCTATCAGAGGGGTTTTATTATTACAGGATCACTATATATGTCTTCAATTTTGAATCAAATTAAATAGAATTTCAGTTCACTCCCTAGCTCCCTGTCTTTCATGTGCATCTGTTGTATGAACGAAACCAATGATTTGTTTTTTATTGCAGACCAACCTGAACATTAAGGGTGACCTGCTGAGCAAACAGTAATAAGCGCTTGCTCTTTCCTGCTTTTTTAGGGCTAGATTCTGAACTCCATCAGATCAGGTGAGAAGTATTTTCCTCCCTGAACACTCCTCCTGGAGCAGTGGCATCTCTCATTACAGGCACTGCAGGAGGGTGGCCTGGGGGTGCAGAAAGGCAAAAAATGTTGACCAGCTAGTTATTCACTTTTACTCTGAGGATTTGGAAGGCATGGATGTCCTCATACTTCTGGAGGATTTACTAGGAGAGGTGTGAGGTTGTGACCAGAGTTCCAGCTTGCCTTCTCCTCCACCAGGAAAGTAGGGTTTCGGGTATTGTAGAGGAAAGAAACTTTGCAGCCTTGAGTTAGGGGAGGTGGTCTGTCGGGAAGGTGTACAACCACAGTGCAAAACAGTGAAAGGCAGTGAGAGGTAACTGTTTTGTGCAGCATCCTCTTACGATCATTCCCTTTTCATCTGAAAATCTCAGGCTCTGTGAATAATCACGGAGCGCAGGCTGTGGTTGAGAACGGGTGTGGAGGGAAATCAGCAATATTACTGCTTGTTACACACGTGGGGAAATGAAAATTGGTAGGAGCTTAGACTCACCGCAGGACTTCACTGACTTCTACAGGATCAGGTCACCCTTTCTGTCTCAGCAGGCAGCTGTGCTGCGGTCCAAGGCCTTGGGCTTTCTAGCTGAGGGAAAAGCAGGAAACAACAGACACCAGTGAAACTGATTTAATATTCCTGTTAAATAAAATCATTTGGCCGCTGCTAGGTCCATTGGTCGCTTGCCAAACAAGCCAATGTATCATATGGCAACTCTCCTGGTTCTGAAGCTGCTGTTCTCGATGCAGTTACCCAGGGAGGTTTCCTCTTTACCCAGGATATTGAGCACTTGGGCAGTTCTGCATGTCATAACTTTTATACAGACTAAAGTGCAATTGTGTACATTTGTTACATAGTTTGCCTTAGGACTGTGTGGAATTTCTGTGGTTTGATGTTTATGTTTGGTATAATCAGTGTTCATAAACTGATCTTCTTCATAATTTTATAGAAGTATCCATTTGGCTTGCTCTTTTTTTTTTTTTTTTAAATGTTTGTTTGTCTTCATGGACTTAAACCTACAGTGGAGCAGATAAGGCTGTGCTGGAATGCTTAAAAGATCTTTTAATAAAGATTTAGCTTCCAGACTTGTGTCAGTGCAAATCTATTTTTCTTTTCCTACCTAATCTCAAATCGCCAGAGCAGTTTGTTTCCCAAGATCTGTCCCAAGTGCCCTGTTGGCCCCAGGCCATAGGCTCTGCCATAAAAAGCTTTTGATAACCAAGGCTTTACTTACAAAGGCATTCACCCAGTGATAGCCAGTGCAAAGTACCTATCTCTGCGCTCAGTCAGCGCACATGGGCTTTGGCAGCAGGGCCACATGTTCTGTCTGACTTGCTATTTTTGTCTTCTTTTATATTTTGATTTATTACAATATCAGGAAAGGAGACCCCTTCTCGCTAAGAAAAATCTGTCTTAAATTCTTTTATGAACCAGAAACGCACCCTAGGTAATTGTCACAAACAGCTGATGTCATCCTGTGAGACAGTTGAAAGAAACAAATTGGGTCTCTGTGACAGAAGGATTTATTTTGGCTTCTACCTAGATTCAAGACTTTCCAGTGATCTTTCAAGAAATGCTAAGAAGAAAATAACAGCTAAGGATTGTAACTCATTCACAGAAGTAACCCTGTTATGACTGTTATTTTTAGTTTAAGCAGCTTTTAGAGCTGAACTCAAACCTTCCTTTATTCTCCCTTTGAGGGAGAAGCCTTGACTTGAACGAAGAAGGCACGGGAGTTTCCTGCAGCTGAGCCTCAGCCCGTCTCTTTAGGACTAAAGTGAGTCTTCTCTGTTTTCATTCAATGCCGTTCCACTTCTCATCTCAGGTAAAAGCTGATCACCTCTTAAACGTGTACATTATCTATCACACAGTGATAAGGTTGCAGTAGGCAGTGCTCAGGTAGGTGCATTTTTTGAGCTCAGTGTGCAGAGAAACTCACTGGACGGCTTTGCCCTTTCCCCACGCCTGCCCTTTCGCAGTAGCCGGGAAATGGCTGCCAGGTTACTCTGTAATCGGAGCATTTGTCCTTTAATGAGCGTCCCTATGACCTGCTGGTTAATTTATGCCTGCAGGAGAGGAGGAGGGTGGCAGCATCCCAACAGTGCCCTGGTGCTTCCCTGCCCAACTTCCTCAGGATCGTCTTGGGAGAGGAACCAGGCTGCAAGAAGAGCAGTCCCTCTGGGCTGCTTTTGGGAGCCATGTCGGGGCTCTCATGGAGCGGGGCCCCCTGCAAGGGCTCGTAGCCTCTCCCAGGAGCTGAGGGCAACCCAAAGCACCCCCTTGGCGTCGACATGCCTCAGTGTCTAGCCGGGAAGGGGCGTCATGGCTGATGAAACAGGGCTTTCCTGACTGCGTTTGGGCAAGAGCCTAGCTCTGCATGTGCGTGTGTGCACGCACAGAAACAGTACTTCAATATTTAGATTTGTAACACACGGTCGCTGGTAGGTCAGGTTTCCTCTCGGTCAGTGTTGCAGCGTTTTAACCTTTCTGCAGCTGTGCCCAGCACAGCCCCGAGGGGGCAGAGGGGCCGTCCTTGCCCCGGGGAACCACTGCACCTTGAAGGGTGCTGGTGGGCTCCCTCAGCCGAAGGCCAGCACTGGCAATTGGCTGGATTTGAACTGCTGCTGTCTCGTGGCCAGCCTGTTTTTTTCCACTTTCCCTTCTTTTCTTAATTGCTCTCCTCCATGCGGTAATGACTTCACAGCTTTTCATATGGATCCACACTTGGAAAAACTCCATGGCATTTCCTGCCGGCCGGCTTCCCCTCTAGCACAAAGGGCCTCAGCAGGGGTAAGCCCTGAGCACGCGCGATCACGCTCACGCTCGTCCGGGGCCAGGTTAAAGGTTTGGTCTCACTTCTTCCAAATTCCACATGCCAGACTTGTGCTCAGCCCAATGTCACCAAATTCCTTGAGAAAGTGAGGGCAGGATTTGGCTCTGAACATCTCAGGTTTTAATTCTCTGCTCGTTTCCCTCCTCCTCTCCAGAGCACCGAGACCAGCAGTGAAGCAACCCTCTGCCCTGACGTGAGTCAGACATGCGTTCAGCTGCTACAAACTCTAAAAATACACATTATTTTAAAACGGGGTGGAGCACTGAACACTTTGAGGCTAGAAAGCAGCCTCCAAACCCCATCTTTCTGAACTGTTGAAGTCATCACAACTGCGATTAAAGAAAATTTGGTCAGAGCAAACTGGCCACAAACTTGGCAACAACACGCTGGACTCTGGCCCTTTCACAGAATAAAAGGCTGCCTTTTTTCAGTCCATAAAACCTCCTCACCAGGGCCAGGCAGCTGCAGACCTGCTGTAAGCCACTGACACGACAGGTCTAATAGACGTGTTTGAAGGCCTGGCCATTTATTTTGGCTGCTAAGCGTAAGCTGAGCTCTGCTGATACCTGATCCTGGGAGGTGTTTTGGGGCCCCAGTGACGCTTAGTTAAAGGCTGGTGTGCTTGCCGCATGCTGCCAGGTCACATACTGCATCACTGCACTCCGGAGCCGGCCCCGGGCCAGTTCAATGCTTGTTGGGATCTTATGGCTCCGATGTTGACATTTGAGTTGCCCTCAATTTATTTCGCAGTGCAATTTGCTTCCTTCTCCTGGGCCCAGATTTACATGCCGGGAGCTCACAAAGGCTGTGGCTCCAGCTGCGGCGCTCAGCCTCCAGCTCCGCAGCAAGCCTGGAAAAAACACTGGGCAATATTTCTCCGTTTCATTAGGGGAGGCTTTTCAAAGCCCTCTGGAAGGGGAGTTTTGGGACTGGCTAGAGGCAGGCAGAGGCCGGAGAGGGGCACATGCACGTCGCAGTGCTGAGGGCAGAGAAGGCCCCAAAAGCACCAGGCCACCCCGTGAGGCTGGCTCGCCTTGCCCGCTCTGAGAGACACCCTCGGCAAGGCTCAAAAGGCCGAGGAGAGGCCGCGTTGCGGTGCAGGACGTGATGCTGCTGCTGCAGCTCTCGCTGCCAGGCATCCCGAGGGCGGGTGTCACGCGCAGCAGCCCCAGAGCAAAACAGATTTTGGTGACCCCTTTCAAGCCCTTTTTCCGCGTGGCAGGAGAGAATATCCCGACTCAGAGACAACCTGGTGCATCTATTCCCATCCCAAGGGGCGTTTTTCTCACCCCTTTTTGCCAGAACAGCTAATTACTGTCTCTCCTTGCTACCTCGTCACAACCATTTTTAATACACTCATGCAAAAAGTACTACTGCAAAAATGTTATGAACACAGCAACACCCTTTTCTTTCTACAGCCTAAGAGCAGTATTTAGTTATAATGAAACCTACCCGATGCAAAGAGAAAAGCTAACTGATGCTGTCCTCGTCGTCACCTAATGAAAAACTTCTATCGCTGCATCAAAGAATCAACTCACAAGAAGCGAGTTTAACCCTTGCAGGTATCAGAGCACCTTCAGCCTTTTCAGTCGTTCTCTGCTCATCTCTGGGCCACCTGGGTTACTTTCACAAGGTGAAGAACAACCATCAACAGCATTTCTAATACAAACAGCAGCTGTAAGAAACTGGACAAACCTAGAATGACCCTTTACACAACAGCGTTCTCCCTGAAGCGATGCAGTCTCCCCCCCTCCCCTCTTTTTTTTTTTTTTTAAAACATCATGCTCCCACCCTGAAAACCTTTGCTGTATTTTACTAGAAGGCTTCTTTTACCTCCCCCTCTACCAACCTTTCTGGATTAAATGGCTGGGAGACGCATGGATATTAACTTGTGCAGGAACTGGAACAACTGATTGCTTTAACCTAAAGAGAAAACAACAACAACAAAAAAAAGACAAAAACATCTGAATACTTACTGCAGAGAGATCGCTGTCTCGGCCTCTTGCGGGAGATGGCGCGGGCCGCCGGCCGGGCACTGCTAAGATGCATTTCTCTGTCTAGCGCAGAGCCCCCTCTCGTGGTATCAATATACCAGAGGCTGTCACCGCTCGCGCTCACCTCTGTCTCTCGGGGTGGCCGTGGCGGGCGAGTCCCCGGGGTCTTCGTCCTGCCGGCGTGGGAAGCACAAAAGTCCCCGCAGTGGAGGGAGAAAGGCAGAGGCGAAGCTCGCCGCCTCCCCTCTCTCCGTCACTCGAGACGGCGGGCGCCTCGAGCAACCCTACGCCGTACAGGTTATATTCTGCGGCTGCGTTAAAAAACCTCCCTGTGATTTAGGTGCCACAGCAAATTCCCACCAATGGATTTCCTCCGCGGACCTTGCTGCCTGAACAGCAACAGGTTTCCCGCTCTTGAGTCTTCCCCCCCGGTCCGACCCTTTCTTCGGCTTATTTGAAAAACTCAGCGTTAGCTACTGCTGCAAACGTAGGACCGTGTCGCTTGCAGCGTAAGCCAGCGCCAGTTAGGAAAGACGAAAGACAACTTCTCCTTGCACGTTGTGAATAAATAACTATCCGTGCTATACCCGCGCCACACAAGGATTCTGCAAAGAGCCCTTGC